AATGATGGGCAACGTTTGAAGGAACAAAAAATTCCGTTTGAGATCGCTTCTCTTCGTGCACGCGAGAGACGTACTATGTTGCTTTTTCTCTCTCTCTCTCTCTCTCTATTCTGATTGAATAAATATAATTTATCATTCTGAAACGCTAAAACTCTCTCGTAACTCTCGAACGTAAGACACCCAATGCGATGTGCCTCCGGCATTTCTTCTGGAACGCGCAAAATTCGACGAAATAATCATCGGGTTACTCACGACGACGGCGTTTGCTCTCGCGCAAATGGCTAAAAGTAAAATAATACATTTTCCGGGCGCTTTTTTTCTGGCTCGTTACGCATTCCGGTGGGTAAATTTCGTGCCTTTTACGATCTTCGTAAAACCACGCCGTTACCAACTGTTCTCCGGTTCTGACGTTAAAAGATACACGTACTGGAGCACGGAAGCGAAAGCGCCGCTTCGCATGCGTATCGCACACACTTCACTCATGCAACGCACCGTGAAACGAAAAAAAAAAAAAAAAACGGGAAGGAAAAACAAACAAAAGAGAAGCGAACGCAACAAAGAAAGACGGGAGAAAAGAATATAATCAGTAAGGGAAACAAAACAGACTGCCGGCACTTAAATTTCTCTCCTGCCCGCTCAACCGCCGACTGCAAAATTCACTGCAAATCCGTAAGCGGCTGGAAAAAAAATTTCTAGGTCGAACGCGAAGAAGGTGGAGCTCGTGCGAGTGGGCAAAAGTTGTGTGTGGAAGAATTTGAGGATAAATTTTGCGCTCTATGCTCGAATTAAATTCCACGGTGTGGTGGAAAAACTGTGTCCTAGCCGAGAGAGTGAGAGAGAGAGAAAAAGATAGTATAAACCAGAATGCTTTTTCACTCGAAAATGGTTTGGTACGTGTGTGATAAGCTGACAGTTTTGGCGCGACAGCACGTGTGCGAGCACTGAAAACATTTGTGACAAAAATATGACGCACAAACCAAACTATTACATTGACTAAGTGTTTATAAACGGATTGCATCTGCGTATAAAAACAATATGCATTTTTTTTTCTCGTTAATCCTGCACGCGCCTAACGCAAATAAACAATTACTTTTACTGGCTGCGATTTTCGCATTTTTATTATTTGTGTAAAATCTCGATAGCGCAAACGCGACAATATACAAAGTACAAGAATAATTTAGAAAAATTTTTCACATACATAAGTATTTGTTTCGTAAAAAGCTCACGCAACATGATGATGAATAGCGCAAGTGCAGAAAAAGCGATTACGCCGCCGTCGGTTCGTTTATTAAGCGTCACTGATATTAAATATTCGCGGCGCACACATATCTTTAAAAGGATTTTCTGTTCGCGGATATTTTCCCGTTCCCTGATATTTGCCTGTGCGCAACACACAGGCGAACTAAGAACAATGCACGAAATTAAATTCTTTCGAGTATGGAGAAGCGACGGGAACGGGTTAGAGAACAGAGAGAGGAATACTATCCAATTCTGGTTTTTTTCGCATGACAAGCAAAGTGTGAACGTAACACGCGTAAAAATTCGAGAAATTCACACGAATGCGAGTAATATATCGATGCGAGCGCATATATTTCATATTTAATCTCTCTCTCTCTGCATCACTGATTTAACCCTCCTTCTGCGCTGAAATGCCGTGAGCGATATATTTGCGATATAGTTTTTCACCGATATCGCCGAATTAAACGATGTGTCGACAGATATATTGGGGACAAATTCGAAAACACATTTCCGATTAAATGAAATATAATAAAACAAGTGTTTGCGCGCGCTCGCGCGCAATTTCGCCGCATTCTGCAGTAGGGTGTATGCATGCGGCCGCGTAACGCGGTTGTGACGGATGTGTATCGCCGCGCGCAATAGTGGTCGTACAACGGCAAATGGCATGTGATCTGTCCCTGGATGCCAATCGTCGGAAAATTTCGGTCGTGGTAGAATCGCCCGGATCAATGTTACGCGAGTTGCTGCATTGGCCTTCTGATGGGTAAAAGCGACCTCTTGCGCATGCAATACACGAACCCACTCTGGGACATTCCACTCGTTGACCAGACGCGCATTCTTTTCTCTCATTTCTTTCGTGAAATTCCGTATATGTATTCTTCTGTCTCGGTGAAATTGTCTTCTTCTGTTTCTTTTTCTTGAATTAAAAAAAAAAAGTATCAAGATCCTTTTCGAGACGGGGAAGGAGTGTATTTAATTAAAGGACCGTTTTACATTATGCATAATTCGGGGGTTTGAGACGGAATTCGAGCATCTGTTTATTGCACACGCGCACCGCCTGACAACAACAGAGAGCTGAAAAAGCCGGAAACACGGCGACGGCATCAACGGTAACGATAACGATGTGGCAACAAGTGCTTTTAACGTCCTAACGGTAACGTTCGCTGCATTCTTGGGGAAGTGCTCGACGCGTTGCTCTCAAAGGATCTCGGCCGCAATGGTTTGGCCGGGTGATGTGAAGCGGTGATACGGTGGCCGGCGAGAGAGAGAGAGAGAGAGAGAGAAAGAGGAATCGACGAGATGTTTGTGAGATCCGATCCGCTTCAATGAATTCTTTATATGATCTGTCTAACTCGCGGTTTTCGCTGGAGAAGAAGAATCTTCTAAAATTTACATTAATAATAATTTGCGACAGAGAAATCTCGTCTCTCGGAATACGGGAAATCTGTTAAAATTTGCAACTGCTTAAAAGACTGGAAGGACGAAGAAATCGGGACCGCGGCCCCAATTAGAGCCGGATATGCATCTAAAGAAGAGAGTTATGCTTCCTAAAGAAACTTTCAGCTCTTTACAACATATTCTACTTTTGTAGCAAATTTTCTAGCATCATCGACTCGGTCTCTTTCTTTTCTTGGTGTTTTGCTCTTGGTTCTTCTAAATCCGGCTTCTTCGTGCACCATACGCGGGGAACGGAGAGCTCATAGCGGCAGCAGCTCCTGCTTATACATATATATATTATTTTCATCCTATTTTCTTTACGAGATCTTTCCGCGAAACTGGTTCACGTAACATGTGTAGTACGTCTCGAGCAAACATCACGCATCGTTAAACATTCAAAAGTTCGAAGCGAAAGACAGCTGGCATTTTTTTTTTACTTACTCGTTTCTTTTGTGTGAGCTGCGGAAGTGGTTTCTTTCAACTTTTTCTTTCGAGGATTTTTTTTCTAAAGGTGTGAGGCTCGAGGGATAACCTCGGGAGTTTCGCGCAACCTCGCAACAAGTGAAGTATTTAATGTTGCACGACGTGTGTTACGACAGACAATGCCTCAAAGATATCAACTCAAGAACAAGATAATACCACGTGCAATTAACGCGGACAGCATTATTTCCAAGAGTATTTATGCACCGCCGTTCGCGTTCTGTTCCTTTTCTTTTTTGTTTGAGATTGAGCAAGAAAGCTTGAAGATGGGAAAGGGGGGGGGAGAAGGGGTGCTCGATCTGTCAGGCCCAGCTGCTGGAGGGTGAACTACTTGATTTACGCCTTTCTTCCATCTTTGCTGGCGGAACATCCTCCGTCTCTTCCACTTCTTCTTCTTCGTCGTCTCGCGCTCGTTCTTCAACAGCTCGAACGCTCTATTTCAACAGCTTAATTCGCTAGAAACATGAGTCTTTATGAAGTGTTAAACCCTTTTTCTTAGTTTTGCTCAATCGAGCAAACGTAACTACGACAGGAATACACGCGGCGTAGTCAAGTGGTGATTTTTTTTTTTCACTTACACGTGTGCTACACAATGTCTCGTCGTTTTCCGCAGATTTAGCAGTAACGAGAAAGTCTATCTCAAACCAAAGGAAGGTCTTAACTGATATGTTACTCTTCTCAACTTTCGTCTCTTGAAACATATTTTCCCGCGCGGAGCTTTAACGAGTTTCTAATTCTTAAGAAGTTCCCCGGGAATGATTATATTCAAGTTTTATAGTTACGAAACTCGTTAAATTCAGTGTGTTCCACGCTGTTTTCAACAAGCATAGAAAAAGCTAATTACTTATTTACAAACAAACAAATTGACTTTTTTAAATGAATAATTTCGGTGGAATAACACAAACTAATGGAAACTCTCGAAACCTCAAACCTATACTCTGTATTTACAGTTTGTGTTGTTTCACATCGTTTTGTTATTGTTACTCTCTCTCTCTCTCTTTCTGTCAAAAAATATGTTTAATAACGTACGTGTAGCAAGGTAATAAATAAATCCCGAGTTGTGTAAATTCTATTTTATAATGTACAATTTTAGGGGATACATTTCTCGCGTATGTTTTTCAAATAAGAACTTTTTTCTCCCCAACCAAGGGAGATCTGCGTCGGACAATTTTTTAGGGGTCACGCGGAGTGGGCGTTTATTTTGTTTGTCTGCACTGTGGTTGTGTGAACTGCGGAGGGAATCTGTTTACTACCCAGTGTTGCGGCGTGGACCACAAAAAGGTCTTTCGTCCGCATGGGTGATAAATTTCTGATATAAACTAGCCTCCGTTTTCATATTCCTTTCTTCAAAAACGCTCCAAGGGTATTTTCTTCCGACCACCTGCTTTCATCACCTGAGTTATCACCATTCGTCATCAGCCCCGTGATATTATCTTTTAATACTGAGAAATTTCGGATATATATATATATATATATATATACATGTACAATATACTTATGCAAAATAAGATTTACTTTGCGATTAAGTAAATGAAAGAGCAGAAATATAAAGCAGCTGGTTTTTTTTGTGTAAATTAAATTCGAGTATAATTTATTATTTCTGTTTAATATTGTAGCGTTTATTATTTCTGTTTAATGTTGTATATATTTACGGGAGTCACAAAAATCAATGGTTCAGAATTGTTTGGAATTGTGTTCCCTTCTGTAAACTAAATTCTTCACTTTAATTACTATCGTCGTGTCAGGTGTCGAGTACCCTTCAGATAAAGTGTCTGCTATTTCGGCGCGAAAACACGGCGATAATGGTACTGCGCTGTCAAGGTTTGTTCTTCTTTCTGTTGCAGCGTCAAGACGGACATGGGCGCAGCCGGTGCGGTATCTAGGCTCTACATTGCGAACGCGAATAAAATGGATAGCGGTAACTACAGCTGCGCCTTAGCGGACGTAGCAGCAGCCACTATGGTGTCCGTCCACGTACTAAACGGTATGAACTATTCAATTCGAATAATTTTGCAGTTAGATACATACTTTCGTACATTTGTTTTGATATATTTCTAATTCCATTTTATTACAAACGATAAACATAATTATTATAAAGAGTATAACAAAAACAATTATGTGACAGTAATTTAATATGATCTTTGCTTGCAAAAAAACCTCGCAAAAATACTGATTTTGATGAAACTTTACACACATGTAAAAGAGAGGAAGAGGAAATAAATAAATATAAGTTTAGAAATATTTGCTCGCTACCCAAAAACGATTCTATAAAGTATGTAATCATTCTCCATATGTAGAGCTACTTTTTGTTTTGATCGATATATATTTTAACAAATGTTGGAAATATCAAAAAATGTTTTATACAAAAGTTTCACAATAGGGATAAAAACATGTCTATACATCTAACCATATTAATACAACTTTTTGAGAATAATTTTTTTCATAGATTTTTGAAAAAATATATTTTTTCAAAGTTGTATTAAGAAGATTAAAAAGCAAAATGTTAAAAAAATAAAAAACTTGATATTGAAGGGTTTCATTTCTTAGAATCGTTTAGAAATTCAGCAACTGAAAATTGAAAAAACTCATCTATTTATTTCCTCTACAAAGTGTGCAATTTCATCAAAATCAGAATTTTCGGGTTCGCGAGGTCTCCTTGTTAGTGTAAAAAAAAAAAAAAAAAAACAAGTTTTTTCTATGCGCATTACGAGCGATAATTTGTTACTGTAGTTTCCTAATTGCAAATTGGAAAGCACATTCGCCTGTATTCCAGAAATCGCGGTCGCACTCGAAATCGCGGTCGCACTCGAAATCGAAGGATCAGTTTCTGTTCGCTGCCGATAACAGTGTTATTGGAAAGGCGAGACACCGGAGGAGAAGAACCGGGGGGTTGTGTGTCAGCTTTCCTCCCCCGTCCCCACACCTTCGGTGGCACACGACGCCTATCGATATAATTTTCCGCTCCTTTGCACGGTCGATAATTGATTTTCCACGGCTTTTCAACAGCGCAAATGCCTATTACCGGCCTTCGTCTTCGCACATCTTCTGCCAGTCGATCGTGCAGAAATACAAAGCTGTGATTTCATCGAGGTAAATAACCGGCAACCGACGACGAAGCGGAGGTGCTGCCGTTGACGGGTGGTTCGATCGCTTCTACGTGATCTTCGTGGTTCCTCATTTCCGTTTTGTCAACGAGTTTCTTGCGCCAAATGACATTTCTGTGACGGTTTTGATAGAAAAAGTATATTCCGCGTCAAGGCACTAAACAAAACTACAAAGAATTGGACATAGAGAGCGACTACTTCTCTAAAAAATATATAATTATAATTATCATATAATGATATCTAATATATATAATAATGTAAATTGAAGGATATTGTCACAGAAGGGGATAGTTTTATTTCTGTTATTCTCTACTTGTTCGAATTTCTTCTTTATACAGTTGCGCTAACCTGTTTCCCTGCGCCCCGACTTCTGTGTAATATCGGTACATGGCTTATATTCACATAGAAAAGTTCGCCGCGGATGTATTCATATACGGCGACTCATTTCTTTCCTCAGAAGAACGCCGCGAAGAGCTGTCGCGGAACTCTTTCTTCTTTTGTAATATTCTCATTCTCGGTACGTAGTCAAATTAGCGTTTAAAATGTACATAATTTTCTTTCGAGTGTGCTAATTCTTACATTCCCAATTCCGTTGCAAGAACAACCGTTAGCCAGCGAGAACAAGTCTTATTATGAAAATCGCGGAGGTGAAAAAACGCGACAATTTTATCTCGTTCTCTAATAGACGTCATTTATTTATTTATTTTTTTTTTCGCGTCTGTTATTCGAAAAAGTGGAAGTTTTCGATGTAGCCGTAGTTTGTTGGAAACGAATAAAACGCGGATGGGAGTCAATCTTTTAAATAGAATTTAACACGTATATAAAAGTTGATTCTTTAATCGAGTTGGAGCGAAGTTGATAGATAAACGACTTTATCGTTGCAATTTGCAAGAAAACTCATATTTAACTCGATTCGTTTTACTGCTCGGCGAGCAATTCTCGACATCGCGCCGCATTGTTCCACCCTCTGTTGATCTATAGCGGGATGAGCGCGGTGTTTTTCGACTCTCTTCCCTCTCCTGCTGTTTTCTCCCTTTTTATCTTTCGACGACGACGTAAACCGCGAAAGTTTCGTATCGCGCGACGAAATCGCAGGGACTCGATGACGCGTGCTCTCGTGTGAAATGCCCGCTAAACGCGGGCTTTATAGTAGCGGATGGGCGATGCCACTGCAAGGCGGTCGATATCCCCCGTGGATTGAGAGCGGGGAAGAAGAGAGGAAACGTCTTTTGAACTTATAGAGAGGAAGCTCAACGAGTTTTCACGGCGGCTTTTCGCGCTCGGGGGCAGATCGGCTCTTCGGAACGCATCTAGGTGATGTGCATTATTTACGGCGGATTGCCTTAAGTCGGTCCAATACGAGAGTAGTTCGATCTTCTTGGTTGGAAGTTTGACGAGAGAACGACCACGAAAACGCGCGCTTATGATGTATAGCAGCCGAGGGAGGGAACTTTTTTTTGTGGTTTTTTTGTTTTTTCGAATGAGACGACGACATCACACATCGGGATTTTTATGTTAAAGTTTCGGCATTTACAGATTGTTCGGTTATGTTTGATGGAAGACGCGGCACACATATAATTACAATATTCCTGATTGTATTGCGCTCCTTCGGTAGCGCATTACCGGGGCAAAACAAGTATCTTATTATCTCGCAACATGCACGCGAAGACGCGAAACAGGGTATGGCAGTAAACCACCGTAATACCGTGTCGCGATGAGTATGCGGAATGCGCAAGTCGGTGAGTTATTACCGCGAGTGTTGTATGCCGGTAACTACAAGAGCGATCATAATACTGGAAGTAATGCGAATTTGCTTGACAAGTAGTCGGACGCTCGAGGCTCGCATTCGAAAGTAGTTTGCCGCGACGTAGAGTCGATCCACGTTCTGAAATTTCGGCGTTGATGCTCTATGCATCGTGAAATGTTTCGCACTTCCGTTTCCATCTCCTCGTTCCTATCCGTTTATGCATGTGATTGCTCGCTAATGACGTCCGTCAGGAGCGAGCAATTTGCGAGAACTGTGGCCATCTTTGACCATCGCGACTTGGACTGCATTCTAATATTTCGATGAGAACCGACGAGAATTCGGTGAGCGCGGCACTTTACATTATTGAAGTAACGCGCCGAACAAGCGTCTTTTGGCAACACCGGCAACTTCACACGCGCGTGTACATTTCCGTCGAAGATAAGATCTTTTTTCCTACAATTGCTTTCTGTAACCGCCGTTCTCTTTGGAACACGTAATGCGCAGGTTTTGTTACTTTTTTGTATTTAATATATTTTTTTTCATAACACACATATACCAGGATGTCTCTTACTTTATAATTAATTATTCTCAAGATATTAATTAACTGGACTCGGAAATGAAGCAGATTATTTGATACTATCTCAACGCTTGAGGGATTTTCTTGCGCGACATTTCCTTCCTCTTTGTGGCCCTTCTTTTACTTTGCAATCTTTGTACTCTCATTCCTACTAGAAAATTATTGTCGGCAAAAAGATGGAAAGGAGAAAGAGAGAGAGAGAGAGAGAGAGAGAGAGAGAGAGGGAGGGAGAGAGAGAGATCTTGTTAGATAAAGTATCTCTGCTTTGTAACGCGAGTGTCATTTCGCAAGATTAAAAAAATGCATTGGCGGAAGAATTCGGACAAAGTATATGAGAGGAAAAACGCATTGATAAGATTACTGAGAAAATATAATCAGTGAAACAGTGAACCGGACAGCGGGTTCACATAAATGGCGCTGATAAATGCAGCTGAGAAAAGGCGTGGAGAATGTGTGGGTGGCGGATAGCTTGTTCTCGAAAATGAGTAGTTTCTGGCCCAGTTAATGCCTACAAGGAGAGACAAGCGAGCACGGAGTTGGTCGGCCCGGTTGGTCCTGGCATGGAAGCGGGGTTAGAGAGGTTATTTCGCGGGATGTCACGCCCTACCCATTAATAATCGTAGCCGCAAGCTCCAAGAGGACTACACGTCGACCCGCCTCTATCCCTTCTATGACACGGAAGTCTGCCTTCGCCTCTTCGGCATCACTGTGCTCCGGTTGAGTCTGACCTCTCTCTCTCTCTCTTTCTTTCTCTCTCTCTCTCTCTCTCTCTCTCTCTCTCTCTCTCTCTCTCTCTCTCTCTCTCTCCTTTCGACGTCGTCGTAAGACCAGGCGTGAGGAGTTT